CGACATAAAGTACTGATCTGTCAGACAGATACGCATCTACAATCCTCCTTATATACGGTGGAAAGTTCTTAATTTCTAAGGCCCGGCGCACAATTCTCCATGGTATACTATTGAACGCGTTCTTAATATCTATTGAAACCGCGATCGCGTATCCTCCTCTGTCCACAATAGAGGTCGTAATGTCTTTGAACTTTAACAGAGCGTCGCAAGTTGAAAGACCCTTCCTGAATCCAAACTGGTTAGGCGCGAAGTCCGAGTCTGGGTACTCTGTCTGCCAATCAGAAATTCTGTTCGCGATAACTCTTTCGAAGGCTTTCGCAATTTCATTTATTAGACAGATCGGTCTAGCCTTAGGCAACTCGTTCGGATTAGCGTTTCGGTCACTACTACCCCCCTTTGGAATCAGCACTAAGTTGGCTACTTTCCAGGATATTGGGAATTCCCCTAGTGAGAGACATTGATTAAATAGCTGTCTAATTAGTTCTAAGAATTCTTCCGATGCACGCTTCCAAAGAGCGAACCTAAAGCCATCCGGTCCAGGAGCCTTCGTGGAAGGAGATGACCTCTTCCTGATAACTCTATCTACCTCCGCAATTGTTATATTCCAGTCTTCGGACCAGACAAGGGTCGACCAATCCTGTACTACATCAGCCCTAAGGTTCCTAGGGAATAATGTACTCAGTAGAGCCTCTAGGCTTTCTCTATCTAGGGTCTCCGTTAATCCAGGAGCCGCCAACCTCAATTTACCCAAAACCATCTTATAAGGGAGGCCCCAAGGGTCCCCGTTAATAGAATTCAACAGTTCCTGCCACGCTGTCGCTTTTAATTTGTTAATTTCGGTTCTTAACTTTTTACGCTTAATTCTATAATCTACAAACAATCTAGCGATAGTCTCCTGAGAGCGTTTCCTTTTTTTGGCTTTTTGCAAGAGTCGTCTCGCCTGCAAACAGTCCCTGCGCAGAACAGCAGCAGATTCCTGCCACCAATACGCTTGCTTTCTCGGTCTTCTTGGTCCAATTCTCTTCATAGCTGCATCGCAGGCTTCCTCCATAGTTTTGTCAAGCCATTCTGCAAATTTATTCACGTTCCTTCGTGTCTCCATTTCCGGGCCTATGCTTCTCCAAATCAAAACCGCCCTGAAGAGATCCTCGTCTAGATTCTTGGTACTCCATCTACGTTGGAGTGATCTGTTTGGAGGTAACTCCGGGAGTTCCAAACAAAGATCAAAGGTTATATAATTATGATCCGACATTGACTCGATATCCTCTCGCACTCTCCAGTTTCTCACAAATCGAAGTAGGTCAGGTGATGTCCATGTTAAGTCAACTATGGAACTTCCCTGGGGCCTCACGCATGTTGGTATTTCTCCCCTATTGCCAATACGAAGATCTCTCTCTGCCGCCCAGCAAGCTAGAAGGCGTCCTCTACCGTCTGTAGTAGGCGATCCCCATAGTTCTGACTTTGCATTGAAATCTCCACAGATGATAGTTTTATCCGTTTTAATTAATAATGAACGCGATAATTCGTTTAAAAGATCATTGTACTGTCTTAAGCCCAAATTAGGCGAAAAATAGACTGATATCATTAAATAAGAGCCACAGAGTACAGCCACAAAGCCAGGACCAGCACGTTCTAATTGGCATCTATATTTCATCGAGTTGGCGTTTATAAAGATAGCAGCAGCATCGTCTAAGCTCCTAAACCAATTAGCCGAGTTGGGAATATAACTAGGTTCGGAGATGAACATTACACTAGCCGAAATTTCCCTAGCCTGATGTAAGAGCAAGTCCATAGCGCCTGGACTCCTATTCACATTCGCCTGTATGAGTTTAATTGACATCCCTATTTACTGTATTACCTCCTTGAGAACCACGACCTTTTGTGTTAAAGTTAGTCCTAAGTTTGCTGACTTTGTTATCCGCTTTACAAAAATTGGAACCGAGTCTGTGGTTCGGATCCTTACCCTCTTCACTACAGAGCTTACACGCCGGGGGAGAGTTGCAGTCCCGAGCTAAATGGTTAGGTTCTCCACATTTGAAGCATAGCCCGCCAAAATCCATCTCAGACGTACATGCCAGCCTCACATGCCCAAATTTCCAGCATCTGAAGCATTGCACGGGCCTAGACTCCAGGAGATCCACTCTAGCCAGGGTCCATCCAATTTTGATCCTCTTCTTATTAGCAACCTCGATTGCCGCCTTCAGAGGGCATTGCGCCCAAATTGTAAACAGCCCATTTCTCATGGGTCT